CTGCTAGCCATGACTCTCCTATGCATTCCTAATTGATTAATTGGCAATACTGTACCCCCACCCAACTCAGTATACATTTAGGCCTTTTTTGGGGGAAGCACAGCCAGGGGTAGCATTGGCAACTATCATCTTGGATAAAGTGTTAATCTTGGATTAAATATTGAGCATCGCACTTCGGCTCTGCATTTCAGCGTATGCACAAAGCGAGAAGCCACAGCAGACAACTCCAAATACTAAACAGGCTATAGGTGACCTGTTTCCCATCCAGCTTTTTTATCTCTTACCAAGTCTACTTCTTAATCTCACCACTCTGTAATGTGAACTCCCTACTTCTCTTCTCACAGTTGTATCGTCTCTCTTCAAACTCTCTCCTTCACCCCTCTTCTCCACCCCACAAGTTATATATATCACCCTCATTCCTGTCTTCACCTTATTACTGCACTCATCAACTTCTGCTAATTCTGAACCCACATACTAACAAAACCTCCAGGACACTGGGACCTGTCCCTCCATATAAGTCATACTCCCACATTACGTCCCTTACCCTTCTGCTTCTCCTAACATGTGGAGACATTTCCCCAAATCCTGGGCCGCTGTAATGCCTATGAAATGTGTTGGCCTTGGACCCTTTGTTTCTTGGGGAACTTTTACAATAAAGCATTGTTGCCCATATGCCAGAAGCAGGAGAAATGACATTGATGTAGTTTCTCTAGGTCAGTGGTGGGCAACCTTTTTTTTTCAACTGAGCCAAATCTCGCCAAAACCACGATTGAAATTTATTTTGAGAGCCACATTTTTAAAACTGAAAATACATAGGATGGTACACACTGTTTTTAGTTTCAATAAGTTTTTATAGTAATTCATCCCCCATAGTAATTCATCCCCCATATAGTAATTCATCCCCCATATAGTAATTCATCCCCCATAGTAATTCATCCCCCCTATAGTAATTCATCCCTCATATAGTAGTAGTAAGTAAGTAGCAAGTAGTAAGCCAAGTCCCCCCTGTGTCAATTCACTTACCTTTGCTCCGCGCATTCCTCTCGCCGTGTTCCCGCGCCGTTCCGGTCTTCAGGGCGGACTGTGAGAGGAGCCTAGCTCCTCTCACGTTCGTCATGCTGCCCCACCTACACACATCCTGACAGCCAATCACTGGCTATCAGGATGTGAGTGGCAGCGAGACTGGCCAATCATTGCATTTGAGCGCCCTGCCCTGGCTGCAGCGTGATCCAAAAAAAAAAAAACAGAGTCCCTGCCGCCCAAGAGGAGGGAGGGGAGCGGGCGCCCGGCACACAAGAGCCGCATTAAAGCGTGTAAAGAGCCGCATGTGGCTCGCGAGCCGCGGCTTGCCGACCACTGCTCTAGGCTAAAGGAACAGAGTCACAAGACATTAGACTGCTTAAAGCAGATAAGAAGTGTTTGTGGGATTGAATGTGTTTGTGACATCTAGAAATGTTACATTAGACTGCTTAAATTAGATAAGAACTTGTTTGTGCATTTAAAAATGTTTATTTGTGGCAAAAGTGTAATATTGCTAGATAAGACGTTGTTTGCTAGTAAAGTGGTTGGGTGTGACTAATGGAACCTTTCTGCTGGCTCCTCCTAGAGTTGGCGTGGCGCCCGCCCATTTCGGGAAAGATGCCAAAAACAGTATATAACGGGAAGCCTGAACGCGGTCAGTTTGGAGCATTCCTATGTGAAAGGGGATGCTCTGACGGTGGGACTCTTGTCAAGACTATATGGGCTCATCGATTGGTCGTGTTTAAGGCTTTTCCGTGACCCCCTGTGAATTATGGTTCAATGGGGTCTGTTCCTTCCCATCTTCCCATAGCTTTGGTGATGTATTAATTCTATGCTGTAACGCTGTCAGAAGATGTGTCTATTTCATGCTCACATTATTATTGGTGTGTGTGTTATGCAGATTGTGATGACTATAAGATATATCTTTCTGTGTGTCGTGTGATAATAAAAGTGGAGGTTTTGACAGTGCAAGAATACTGCATTTGGATTGTTATTTCTTGGAGTGCCAAGTGAATGCTATGATGTGCCAGGGCAGGTGTTCATTTGGTAGTGGGTCTCTCAAATGCTTAGCATAATGGTGTAAGTGCTGGCTAAACGTACCTGTGTGTGTGTGTGTGTGACTACCTGTGTATTGTTTGTCTATGACTTGCTTTTGGTTATTGTGTCCAGCATTGCATTACAGCTGCCATTGTTTTCCTTTGACCAACACACCCAGCATCCCCTATCCTCTAACAATGGCTGCAATCCACACAATCTGGTTACTATTTCACTTCTTACTGGAACCAGCCTCCCCTTCTCCTGTGCCCTTTGGAATGCTCACTCTGTCTGTAACAAACTCACCTCTGTCCATGACCTTTTTATAACAAACTCCTCTAACCTACTTGCAATTACGAAAACCTGACTTCATGAATCTGACTCTCCCTCTCCCGATGCCCTCTCCCACGGTGGTCTCCTTTGGACTCCCTCTCCCAGCCCTAGTGGACGGAAGGGAGGTGGAGTTGTAATCCTCCTACCCCCTCAAAGCACTTTTCAGGTCCTTCATTCACCTCCCTTTCTGTCCCCTTCCTCATTTGAAGCTCTGTACTTGTCTATTCTCTCCAGTATCTGTAAGAATTGCTGTGAGCTATTGCCCTCCTGGACCGGTATCAAGCTTCCTTGATGACTTCTCTGCCTGGCTACCTTACTTTCTCTCTTCTGAAATTCCCACAATTATTCTCGGTGACTTCAACATCCCTTTTAACCTTAACACTTCTACTTCTAAACTTCTGATCCTAACCACTTCTTTTGACCTAAAACAATGGACACATGCTTCTATTCACTCTCATGGTAACTGCCTTGTATTCTCCTACCTATGAACTCCTTGCAACCTCAGCAACTTTCCTTTTCCTCTCTCTGATCACTCTTATTAGCTTAATTCTCTCCTTGGCTTCCAACTACTGAATATTACCCATAGAAACCTTTGCTATCTTAACCCTTCTCTTCTTTTTTCTGCAACAGGTTGTATCTATGACAAAATCTCAGCCTTGTCCCAACCTGGCCACTTCTTTCTACAACAGTTCACTGTCATCTACCATGGACAAATTGGCTCCCCTCACTACACATAGAATTAGGCCCTGACTGCTACAGCCCTGGCAAACAGACAATACCAGATGCCTCAAAAAACGTAGAGGTGCTCTAGAGTGTTTATGGCGTAGGACTAAGACTGAGCAAGACTTCGACCAAAATAAATCTACCCTTCAAAAATCCAATTCCTGTCTCCACACTGCCAAATAGACCTATTTTATCACTCTCATTAACACCCTCTCACACAATCCCCGTCAACTCTTTTCTACCTTTAACTCTCTACTTCGTCCTTCATTACCTCCAGCCACTAACTCACTCACTGCCCAGGTGATCGCTAATCACTTCAAAAACAAGACTGATGCAATTTGTGACAAGATCTCCACTGTACAGATATCTCCCTCACTCTACACTCCTTGTCCATCTGCACAATCAATACTTCCCTTGTTTAACCCAGCTACTATAGAGGAAGTTGGTAAACATTTTTTTCTAAAGTGCACCTAACCACCTGTCCCCTGGATCCTGTTCCTTCGCAAATACTACTGTCACCCTTTGACTCTGCCCCCAGCTACATCACCAACCTGGTCTCAAAATATCAACCAAACCTCTCTTTGATCCTCCCAAGACCTTCTGCGCTCTAATTCCCGTGTCACCTCCTCCTATCCTTGACTCAGGACTTCTCCCGAGCTTCTCCCATCTTATGGAACTCCCTACCCCAATCTGTCCGACTGTCTCCTAATCTGTCCACCTTTAGACGGTCCCTGAAAACCTCTCTCTTTAAAAAGCCTATCCTGCTTCTAACTAGTAAACTGCTTTTACTTCCTCTATCAGCTCATCCCCCACAGCTATTACCTTTTGTATCACTCAACCCTTCCTCTTAGATTGTAAGCTCTAACGAGCAGGGTCCTCTGTTTCCTCTTGTACCAAATTGTATTGTAACTGTAATATCTTATCTTCATTTTGTAAAGTGCTGCATAAACTGTTGGCACTATACAAATCCTGTATAATATGGATAATAATAAAATCTGACCAAAGACAAGATACTAGCTGCAGGAAAGCACTGCTTATAATATTAAAGTGGACCTGCAGAGTGTTCTGTGATTAGATGATGGGCATCTCCTCTAATCACAAGGCCCTTTGCAGTCAGGGTAAGAATACTAACAGTTGTATAAATGAAGGAAGTGGGCAGAAGAGGTGGTGAGAGGTGCTACTCTTTCACACTAGCAGCAGCCGATGTTCTGTCCAGCAGTGCCAGAAGATCAGTTCTGTGGGAGGACCTGGCGGTAGTTGGGAGAAGACTCCTACACTATGCAGCAGCTAGCAAGACGTGGGACGCATTACACTACAGTTAAGTCCGTGATGCTTCATAGCAAAAAATTTAATTATACTTTCATTAAAAAAAAATATATAAAAAGGTATTTGTCTAGTTTGAGAGGGTGTTTTGAGTCTGCTGCAGGCAGAAGAAACATTTACCCAATCTTACTGAGATTGTAAATTTTTAGCCAGTCACAAGGTGAGAGGCAGCCATGGAAGAGCTGATCTGTGTTATACATTTGTGATCATGGCCAAAAACTGTACGAGCACCATGATTTACATCAGTATGTCGTCTGTGAGCCAGCATCTCAGTCCAGATAGTGCCTGACCAAGGATGGTGCCATCCTTCTAAAAAGAGAGGCAGATTAAGGCATTGTCTGGGGAAACTAGTGTGGTAACTGTGAGATCATACCTATACCTATAAATGTTGCATCTTCGCATTTCTTATCATACATGCACTTGACACAAATTATGTTTGGTGCTGTAATGTAGGTATAATAACTTGCTTTTCTTCTTTTGCAGGTGATTTCCAAAGAGGCATTTTCTGCAGTTTGAGGAACAGCTAGCATTTGAATTATGAATGTGACAACCATTTGTATATCATCATGGCAAATCCACAGTATGTACTGCTGTGTTTATTCAAAACTTGATTTTAATTCTTGGTTGTTCTACAAGTGATTAATTTGAAAGAGAAGTTTGGGAATAAAATAAAAACCTTTATACTCTCCTAGGTGGATGCAGCTTTGGTTCAATGCTGAATCTGTCTCCTGCTGCTTTTAAGACCAAGAACTGAGTGATCAAAGACCATTGATCACTCAGTTCTCAGTCTTCACTCAGAAGACAGGCGCTGACTATCAGTCACCGACTCTCTGCTTTGCCCCCTCCAACGCTCACTGGAGCGCCAGGCTGTGGAGGGGGCAGGAGTGGCTGGCTTAGTCTCCCAGTGGCTCAGTGATGTCAGCCAACAGCGGGGTTTAGCCCACTGTTGGTGGAAAATGGATCACCTGTACAGAAAGAAGTTCACTCAGGTGATCCATAGAAACAGGGCCATAAGAGCTTTGGCCCTACTTCTTTAAAAAGTACTAGACACATGGAGGTAATTCACCTAATATTTAAATGACATCACATTTGGTATATTAATTTTTGCACAGTGGTGGCGAGTATTGCTCGTGTCTTCCATCACTGGGGGTCAGATTCAGCTTCCGACTCCTGTGCTGCAGATTCAGCAGGCTAAAGTCCACTGTCAGCTGACATCATAGGGACGGTCCAAGTTCTGCAGGGATCCTGACAATAATGGGGCAGCACATTGGCTGAATGGTTAGTACTTCCACCTGGCAGTAATAAGGTTGTTGGTTTGAATCTCAACCATGGCACCACCTGCCAAGATTTTGCATGTTCTCCCTGTGCCTGCGTGTGTTTCCTCCGGGTACTCCGGTTTCCTCCCACATTATAAAGACATGCTGGTAGGTTAATTGCCTCCTGTCTAAATTGGCCCTAGTATGTATGAATGTGAGTTAGGGACCTTAGATTGTACGCTTCTTGAGGGTTAGGGACTGATGTGAATGTACAATATATATATATATATATATATATATATATATATATATATATATATATATATATATATATATATATATGTGTGTGTGTATATGTGTGTATGTATGTAGTCTTGCACAGCTGTGCTGTTTTTGAATTGTGACAGCGGGGGCGGGGAGAAGATTCCTCACCCGCTGTAACAATGAGGGACTGGGTCGGAGTAAATATGGGTGTAACATGTTACTAAAGGATAAGTTCACTTTTGGAACATGTTGCATGTTCCATCCATTTTTAGTGTGGAGCATGTAACATGTTCCAGCTTCTGCAGTCTCTCTCTCTCCCACCCAGCACCCCCTTCCCCCTCCCAATCTCCCCTCCCTATGACAGCAGGCCAGGGATCTTCTCCCCACACCTGGTGTCACAATTTCAAAATAGCATGGACAGCAGGGTTCCGCTAACATGTCCATGTCATTCATTCACAATGTCCTGTGAATAAATGGACTAAAACTACTGTCAACCATTGCAGCAGATGGTGTGTTGTTCTCAATGAACTACCAGGGCGCTGGTGGGCAGACGGCTATCCTGAGACTCTGCTGGAGCCTGAGATTGCACCCATGATCTGCTGACTGCAGCTGCAATGCTCTGCAGGCTCCTTAGAAAAAATAATAAATGCACATTTATTACCTGCAAAATAATGTACATTTTTTTCAGAAGGTGAATGTATCCTTTTTAAGCTGACGTCTTTCCCTTAAAAAAACACTTTTAAAGTAATTTGATACCTATAACCTCTATGGCTATGCCCTATGGGTGGAGCGAAGCACATCAGAAGGACGTGACCTGGGAGGAGACTGGCTGAAGCCGTATCTCACATCTGTGTACCTTAGCTGGGTTTCCTGGAGTGTGGCCTTAATTGTTTCAGTGCAGTTTTACCAAAGCCGGTATGAGCTCTTTTGATCCCGGTACCCATCGGCTGTGTGAGACACTGGGGAGTCCTGTAGTGGCCCTTCAAGTGGCGCTGTAAGTTCTAAAGTTCAGATTCAATTTGATACCTTTTTTGTATCATTTCCTTTGTAGGTCAAGCTGGCTGAAGCCATGCTGTGGGAGAAGGGCTACGGTGTGGCACGTGTTTCTGCTGAGTGCTGGAGTGAACAGCTTTTTGGTGGCCTGTGTCATTCTTGTGGTGGTCCTAATGACAGTGGAACTGCTGATAGACACCAAGCTGCTACAGTGTGAGTTCCATCTCAGAATGCATTCTGTGTGATACTGCATACCTTCAGTGTATAATAATGCTCCTGATAGGAAAGGGCAAGTTTAGAGGTTCTGTATATTGCTAATTCCTTTATTATGACCAGTATTAAAAATACTATTGTAAAGACCTTTTTGACAAATAAATATGAAATTATGCTTATACGTACTGTATGTTTATTCTCAGACAGCAGTTGCTGCTTTAGACTCAGTTTCACATTTACCTGTGTGATCTTAGATGCTCTGTTGTCAAAATGTTGTTTTTGGGTTTTTTTTTTTTTTCTCATGCAAGATCTGATGGAGGGTCACTGTGTTCTTTTCCTATAGCATAGTGGCTGATCTACATCAACTGCTTATTGTAGAGTAGAAATTGTTTTATGACATTGCTAATGTTTTGTGAAAAGGTAGCTTGGGGAGCAGTATATTATTATTATTATTATTATACAGGATTTATATAGCGCCAACAGTTTGCTCAGCGCTTTACAATATAACGGGAGACAATACAGATCAATACAAGAGGGATAGGAGGGCCCTGCTCTTTGAAGCTTACAATCTAATGTATAAAAACTTAACCTTTTCATAATTTTTGTAATTTTTTTTTTTTTTTTAGTCTCGAATGCAACACAGTGTTCAGGGATCATCCACTGGATAAGCCTGTCTATCTTGTCGATGTTCTTTGTGGAGGTAGGATACTAAAATGATCACTATTGCTGATAAGGTTTGGCTACTTTCCGTATGTTATTTCTTCTTTCATTTTTACTTAACTTAAAGATTAAAAAACTGTTTAGAGAAGAGCCTCCCCACAGGATAGATGCATTGACATTCCAGTCAAAGCTGCCATAAGCTTGCAATGGTGGTTAGTTGTGCAGGCAGGGGTAATGTAACCATCCCCTGAGCAAGCTGTCTGCAGAGCACTCTGTACATTTGTAAGGGTCCCTTTAACAACCGTTCTAGTATATCACTGGAGAGGAGAACAGGAAGAAAAGAGGTCAGCATTGTTTGACTGAAAAGGAGCAATCTGATTGGAATTTCTCCCAACATAGGTCTGCTGGTCATGTCCATGAGCATCCAGACACAAGGTTGTACCTCAATCAATCCAAAACTGGTTGACTGTCACTTCACCTCTAAAGGTCACTTAAAGGTTTAAAAAAACATGACACTAAGGACAAAATACCTCCCTGTTATTTTCATGTTTCCTTGTTCTGACTTCAGTAAACCAATCTAATTACGATGTTCTTCTGCACCTTTACATGTCATTATATGGTTCTTTAGAAAGGTTTGGTGGAAGTGGTGCTGGATCTGAGTTGGAACTACTTTTGGTACTGATGATACCGAGGCCTGCAGATTTAGCAGTGTCAGCATGGCTGTTAGAGCTCTTAAAGCGGTATTCAACCCAAAATCAAACACTTATTATATTCCAGCTTACCAATTCTTCGATGTGGTGGCTGCATTTGTTTTCCCTTTTTGACTTTCTTTCTTTTATTTTTACTTGGTGATCTGGCCAGTAAGCCTGTTGGTTTTTGACAGAACAAGCTTTCCTGCAAGTGTATCGGTTAAGAGTGTTGAGACAAACCATTTACCACTGACAGGAGTGTTTACAATGATCAGATTTTTTTTATTTATTTATTTTGTTAAACCTTTATCCCTAAAGACGAAAAACCTGCTGGTGTGTGTGCAGTGTGAGCTGGAGTTTGGCTTCACGTTGTTAGTGTATCTTAATCTGCTAGTACATCTAACACTCCCCTCCTCCCCAATTAACAATGCTGCTGTTAAGGGACTTATACCCAAGTATTAGAGGAGACAGGAGGTGCCGAAAGTGAAGGACTGGGTGGATAGGGTGGATCAAATATGTAAATTGGAGGAACTTTATCATTTGAATGAAGATAAGATGGAGAGTCACCATACAAGATGGAACAAATGGGAGGAATTCAAAAAGTCAAGGCTAGCCTTAGAGGTTATGGGGGATTAACATAGAATAATATGGAAACATATTTTGTTCTTCTTTTATAGGGATTACGATCTCCAGAAACTGCACTGAGCAATTATGACACCAATTATTTAATGGTTTAGTAGTTCAGTTGAGAGCACAGGCAACTGTGACAGTTGTTGTTCAGGGCATGTATTTTATGCAACTGCTTTGGGAAACTGTAAAGGTGATGGATTTATTTCTGCTTTAAATTGCAACTGCATTAGCAGAAACAGATACAAAATGTTGATGTACTATGGCCAGATAGGCTGTTCACTTTGCAAGGGAAGTTTTCTTTTGCTTAGTGAATGAGGTGAGGTTCTGCTGACGTCCATCATCTAATAATTTTTTTTTCTTACACATGATTATGTGTTCTTTGCAAGGTAAATTTTTACCACATTCACTGAGTGAAAAGAAAATTCCCTTGAAAAATGAACACCTCTTTACTTTTAGTAAATCAAAGAGACTTTTGCTGTACTTTAACTGCAGTTCATTCACTTGCCAGTGTAATCTGTTTAGATATTTTGGGAGGAATTCAATAGAGCTGCTGTGCCACTGTTCTGGCATTAATCCCTCTTGGTAATGTATTGTGCTAAATTCATAAATCATTTGCAACACTTTTGGTTCTGACAGCGCATTGTGCACCAAATTCAGATAGTTCTAAAATGCATCATTTCCACATTGTGTCACATTGAATGTGCCAAATAGAAAAGTGGAGCTAATGAAGACCAACTCTCCTTTTGGTGTACAGAGGAAAAACTGGCTCAGACAGATTTCCTGAAAGTCTCATGCACTCTAAAAGTGGAGCAGCATGAGCCAAATTCAAGTACTAGTTCTAGACTGGTACATGAATTTGGCACATAAATTCGACACTTTCTTCACCACTTTTAGAATGCACGAGAGACACTTTCACAAAATCTGCCTGTGCAGTCTTTATGAATTCCAGGGATTGTGTTTATAGTGATGTGTTATCTCTACATGCAAAAATAGGAAAAATATATTTTCTTTGTATGTATTATATATTTTTTTCTAATCTTTTATTCAGACTGTGCTAAGAATTACCATCCTTGGCATATGGGATTATATTGAAAATAAAGTTGAGGTGAGTATTTCTGCTCTTTTTCTTTAAGTGCATGTAAACCCTAAGGCTTGGTTCACACTGCGGGGACTTGGGATCCGATTTTGTGAGACCCCAAGTCACATGACGTGAAATCCCATGTTGGTCAATGAGAGCTGCCTTAATTAGCACTACTGAAGTTGCTCTGACATTAGAAAAGGTTCCTGGTACTACTTCAAGGCATCTTCTGCCTGACCTTTGCCCATGGACTTTAATGGAAGTCGGATCTTCATCTGTATTGATGTGATTTGGATCCGACATTAAAACATTTTGAGTAAAAAAATGCGTGGGGTCACCCCCCCATCCATATCAGGCTCTTCAGGTCTGGTATGTATTTTAGGGGAAACCCCATGCCAAAATGTGAAAAGAAAATTGAGTGCCCCCCTACCCCAAAATCCATACCAGACTCTAATCCGAGCATGCAGCCCGGTAGGTCAGGAAAGGGGAGAACCATCGAGCAGCCCCCCCCCTTCCTCAATGCATCTTGTCCCCTCTCCCAATGCACCTTGTCCCCTCTAATCATTCACTACAAAAGTGTCAAAAGAGTACACAATTTTTGACCAGTCTTTTTTTATTAAAAAATCAAACATAAAAATGTCCCCTGAAGTAGATTCAACGTCAATCACGATGAACGCCTTCAACCCAAAAAAAAAGAGCTTTGCTCCAGCAAAAGGCTTCCGCAGTCTGACAGCTCTGCCATCTGACAGTTCTGAAATAAGCTAAGGGGCGGGGTCATCTGGTGATGTAATCAGGTGGCCCTGCCCCTTAGCTATTTAAGAACTGTTTTTGTTTTGTTTTTTTTGTGTTGGAGGCTTTCATCGTAATTGATGTCGGATCCACTTCAGGGGACAACTTTTTTTTTTTTTTTTAAATGAATGTCAAAAAAAGGTGTTGTGTTTTTATGCTCTTTTGATGAATGAGTAAGGGTAGCTATGTACCCCATACTCATTCACGGGGGGAGTGATCTGATCAAGTCACCTCTTGCAGACCCCCCACAACCACCATCCAGGGTTGTGGGGAAGAGGCCCTTGTCCTCATTAACATGGGTACAAGCCCCCCTGTCATGTTGAGGGCCTGGTATGGTTCAGGAGGGGGGCGCTCACTTGTCCCCCTTTTCTGGCCTTCCAGGCTGCATGTTCGGATAATGGTCTGGTATGGATTTTGGAGGGGGACCCCACACCTTGGCATGAAAGTCACTTCAAAGTTGCATCAAGTCGCCAACAAATCACCAGGAAGTCGCCTGGCAAAGTTGCACCATAAGTTGCTAAAATAGTCATAAACAAATGCCCTTTGTAAAATAAAATTTATATTTTCTTAAACCTTTGTTAAATATTATCATTCCTGAAGCCTGTCTGCAGCCACTTCTGTCCACATGCATACAGTCTGCATGTACATCATTTTAGGGCAGTCTCCATTGCGAGTCTGTGTGTGGCTCAGTGACAATGCAGAACAATTGTTAGACACACAGGGTTGTCACTTTATTAGTGGAAGTGTCTCCACAATGATCCTCATGGGAGGATCACCAGGTATTACCCATAGCCCAAAGCAAGTATTTTCTAATCCATTCAGCAGGACGAATATCTGATAACCTGTCTAGAGTTTCAAATTAGTGTCATTTTTTTTTTTTTTTTAGTAAAAGATCTCATGTTACACCAACAACAGGCCACTTATTGTGTTGAAAATGGTAATTCTTTATGTTCCTGTATCCTCTTTTTTATATTACTTTGTTCTGTGTGTTGCACAGGTACTGGATGGAGCTGTCATTATTCTCTCTCTAGCTCCTATGGTTGCTTCCACTGTGGCTAATGGGCCAAGTAGTCCATGGGATGCCATCAGTCTCTTCATTTCCCTGAGGATTTGGAGAGTAAAGAGAATTATTGATGGTGAGTCAGGTTCGTTTGCTATACAGTACTATCCATATATAGTGGATTAGGTGTGGTCAGTTGCTATATTTTGGTTACATGCAGCCATAGAATTGTTTGTTTGTATTTCTTTCTTTTTTTTTTTTTTATTAATCTTGTAGAAATGAATAATCGTAAATAAGTGTTAAGCATTTTAAATGTTTTTTTTTTTTTTTTGTAAAATATTACAGTTAGTAAACTGTGCACATGTTCTTTTGCTTGTTTTCTGCAGCTTACGTCTTACCTGTGAAAGTAGAAATGGAGATTGTGGTGCAGCAGTATGAGAAAGCCAAGCTTATCCAGGAGGAGCAGCTGGAAAGGCTAACACAGATGTGCCAAGAGCAAGCGGTCAGTTGAGTGTAGATGGCAGTTGAGTGCTTACAGTGTGGTAGAGATGTGCAGCAAGTGATATGTGATGTTCTTTAAAGCAGAACAGGCAGATATACAATATGCAAATTAATGAAGCCATATGTATACATTAATACATCAATAAAGTACATCTATGAACAGACTGTGGGCATGGAACTACATTTTTAAACAACATTTAGTTTGGACTGCTTTTGGATGTCTGTAGGTTCCTCATCATCAAGCTGTGTCACTCCTTGGAAGATAACGTAGGATTTTAGTACTCACAATAAAATCCTTTTTTCAGTCTATTGAGGGACACAACTCGCTTCCCTCATATGTTGCCATTCTCTTTATGGACTACATGCTACAACTGAGCAGGTGTGAGTTGGGAAGGAATTGTATAGCCTCAAGAGTTGACCTTTAGTTTATGTACCTAGTGTCCATTTCCCCTGTAGATGGCACAGTAAAATCCCTAGGTTGCTTGTTATGTTTAAGTTGTATCCCTCAATGGACTTAGAGAGTCGAGTTGAGTTGAGTTAAAAAAACATCATAATTATTATTATTAGTGCAAGTAATGTGAGTACCTGAATTTGATTTGATATTGACCTCTTGCAGTCCTCTCTACAGGTCAGGTTTGGAAAGGGAGAAGTAGAACAAAGAGCCAGTCGGATGGTCAGGTGTGATGTAATGCTCATATTTTATCAAAAACATGCAGTCAGGAGAAGATGGCAGAGTTCAATAGTGTGCTGCTTTTCCCTTCACTGTCCAGTCATGGGCTGTGGGAAGGGGGAAGACCTGTAAGTCTAGATTTATTGCGCCAGAGATAAAAAAAAAAAAAAAAAAAAAAAAAAAATCACCTTTCCTACCAAGACAGAATATAGTGGATAAAAAAAATGTATATGTACAAGTGATATAAAAATGCAAACCAAAATTAAACTGTGCTCTGCGCAATTAATAAAATAAACAAGGATAGATACAATAATTGTTCAAAAACGTCAGTATGAAGTAAGTGCAAATATATATCATGTGTAAAAACAATCCTTACATTGTGTAAGTCCTTCTACAATGTTGTCCAGTCCTCAGATGTTTAACTCCCAGGAGTAAAACAAGTGTCCAAGCACAGATTGTTTGTTTGCAATGTGTGAATCAATGTGCAGCATATGCAGGTGTTTGTTTTGTTCAGACCTGTCCCACCAGACCAAACAGAGATGACCAGTTAGCTGAAGCACTGTTATTAAATCCAGTATTGGTTTTCTTTTTCCACAGGCTTTTTGCATGTGTTCCTTCAATAAATATGCAAGTCAAAGACTGAGAGAGTCATAGTGTAACACGATATATTAAAAACAGATAAAACCATAAAGTAAAATACCTTACAAATGCTGTGCTTCTCGCAGCACTAAGAGTTCAACACTCAATATTGTACCAACCTACTGCTGAATGTATGCACCCCCCTTATTTTTGGTGTGATGTCATAGTGTGCGTCCCTGACCTGCATGTTTTGTCACAATTACTTAAGTGTAGCCTGAGTATAGGGGAGATGTTTTACCTGCCAAATGATTTGTATTTTATCTCTGTGTTTGGCTGGAGGTCAGATTTAAAGGAAACCTTCTACAGAAAAAAGTATGCAAATAAGGACTTCTGATTTTACTCATATTTTCCAAGGCTACATACCTGTCCCGGGTCAGACACTCAAATTACTCAAGTCAAGGGATCAGCATAACAGCCAGGCAATTTGTATTTTAATAGGGAAATCGGCAAAGTCCGTCTCCATATTACTCTTAGGAAAAACTTACCGTAAATAAAGTAAGCATGTCAAAAACTAAACACAACATATTTCTGAGCTGAATCTGTAGAGCCCAAAAATGTTATAAGCCTTGATGAACAAACCCATACAAAGTTATAGTTAAGTAGCAACCACGAGCTTAGAGGCAATTTTTATTTTATTCCAGCTCTCACGGATAATTAAACATTCCTGTTGCACAGTTTAGCTCATAATTGGAAGAATATGTTCTTTCTATTATTGGAAGGCAGTCTGATCCTAACACCAATGGTGAACAGGCTACCTTTCCTTTCCGTTGCAGCTATACTTTGTGCAGATGTTTTAGCTTTGATTCAAAGCACACTATGCCTTGGCTTGCTTCACAGGTTACTGCCTGGCATGCTTTTGCAGTCACTTGGTGCATGTCAATAATTATGTCTCTGTTTTCCAAGCAGTCATTATATAAATGCAGAGATCCCTACCTACTTGGCATACCAACCACAAAGGCCATGGCCTTGCAGGTCAACGGAGATGCACAGAATAACTTGGCTGGGAGAGGTGATAAAAGTTTCTTTAAATTACAAAAATTCCTACATCTTTCCAATCATTTGCAAAATTTCTCCTCTTCTACTCAATATAACTTTCTTAAACCCTAATCTTCACTTAAAAAACTAACTTAAAAACAAAAGTCAAACTAATGTTGTACAGCCTGAATACATCTCTATACCTATACTGAACTTTTTATTGTTTACTCCTGCATACGATATTGAGCTTGTTTGTTGATAATATAAAAAAAACTGCAACCACTGGATGACGCAACCCAAACTTTCCAGTACTGTAGAAATACCAACAAGTTTTTTTATTTTTAGGTTTTTTTTAGTACCTGTTCTAAAAATACCTGTTATGGTATACAAAATATAAAGTACATATATTTTTAGGTAGACTGGTAGTAACAACCTAAGAGAGGGAAGAACATGAATAATGACAGTTAGATTTGTTGGCTGATATTGTGTTCTGTAAAGCTAAACTTCTGATACTGCCATTTTCAGGCTCTTCATGCTAAAAGCTTCTGGCAGATTGCTAAAACCAGTGGTGGGATACACATACATCTAAATGATATGATTAAGCAGCTGCATGTGATACTACTTAGTCTGTTTTTGCTTGTGTTTGAGTCGAATTATGGCAAAATTCATATGCCATCATTTTGATTTTTGAACACTAGATGGCAGTAATTATTTTTTCCAAACTATAGCCAGCACCCTAGGTCATGATTCAGCCAAATCTTTAACTTTTTATACCGCTTTACTTCCTTCATAGAGAGAATCTTTGCCTAATTCTCTATGCCTGTTTACGTTACCACTCTGGGTCTAGGCAAGTATGTTGGTCTGACCTGCACAGAAAAATAACAATAATACAAGTTCCTGCCATTCAACCTTTTCTGAATAAAGGGGTCAATTCATTAAAGGTTACTGCATGCGATAGGAAGGTCACGTTATTCATTTTCCAGAAATATTGCATGAGATAATAAGAGCCCAAAAAAATGAGATAATTCATTACGGTCAATTCATTAAAAAACACACATTCATTGTTTATCACAAGTTGTTTGCCGGCAGTATTTTAGAAATGTACAAAATAACAATTAGAGGAACTCTGAACTGGCCAGAAAGTGAAAACTATACAATGTATCAGTGTGCAAATGTTCTCCTCAGAGCTCAGAAATGAAAATAAATTGTAACGTTTCATCAGAGGGAGATCATTTTGTGAATTGAAGTACACTACAATGTTTTTCGTAGTTTCACAGTATTTCTGTGTGCATTCTGGTACAGTGTTAGCCTGCAAAAAAACCTGAAAAAGAACGCAAAATTTAAGTGGTAAATATCGCAAAGCATAAATATTATTTAACACATTCGGTAAATACTGCAAGTTTTTTTAGTGAATTGACTACTTTTTAAATACCACATGAGTTATTTTAAATCAAATTCATGTGGTATTTATCTCTTAGTGAATTGACCCCAAAATATCTTATTAAAGTGGAACTGCACTGCATCTGAGCACCACAAACCAAAGATGCTATTTGATTTATTTTTAATATTCAAAGCAAACTCCCCCATCCATCCATGTCTCTGTGCTTTATTTTACTGAGAAATATTTTTGAAAAACACCCCTCTAGCATTTCTGGCAGTGGCCATCTTGAGTAAGGGCAAATGATTTATGTAGCAATTACTTCCTGGAATCCATTTGCCCTTAGCTCAGGTATAGGCGGAGCTGAAAACCCTCCCTCCTCTCCTGAAGACTGCTGGGATGTATGACATCATTTTACCTAGGCATTCAAACCAAAACTTAAGAAATGTTGAAAAAAAAAAACAAGTAAATATAATATACTTTCCTATCTATTTACTAATGCTAGCAGCATAAGGATTAAAAAATAGTCCATGTTGACTGAGCCAATATTTATCATCTTTTCTGTTTTTTTTCAGTTTGAGATCAGGCAGCTGAGGGCACATCTTGCTCAGCAAGACCTGGATTTGGTTGCAGAGAGAGAACGAGCTTTAAAACTTCCACATGACCTTCAAAACAAAAGCGACAGGTTCAAGGTCTTGGCAAACAGGGATTTTGATGACGAGGCTACAGAAAGTATCACAGAACTAGCTCATGGTGAGTACAAAACATACTGATTGATGAACAGTATCTACACAAGTATTGGATGTATACAACCTGCTGCTGAAAAATTTCCCTCCCAGTATTCATAGACAGAAGATTATTATTATTATACAGAATTTATAAAGCGCCAATAGTTCGCTCAGCGCTGTACATTACAGAGGGGGACAGAACAATACCAATACAATGCAAACCATGAGGGGATCGAGGGCCCTGCTCTTTCAAGCTTACAATCTAAAAGATAACGATAACCAAGGGTGCAGTCAGTTCATGACAGTTATTTATACCGTACTAACAATAACTTAACTCTTATTTGTTGATCACTTCACTCTGTGATCATTAACAGTCATCAATTCAAACCATATAGATTAAAAAACCTTCAGCCTTTACAGCCACTTTACTTTCATGCATTCTATGCATAAAGGTAAAAAACCTTCTGTGTGCAGCAGCCCCCCCAAATACTCGCCTAAGTCCCCTCTCGATCCAGCGATGTGCACTGGAGTCTCGGCTGTCCTGAGACTCCCTCTCCTCATTGTCTGAGACAGCAGCGGGAACCAATGGCTCCCGCTGCTGTCAGTCACAGCCAGCGAGCTAATGAGGAGAGAGGGGTGACTCCGTGTGTGAATGGACGCATTGGGGCAGCAGCTCAGGAGCATGCTTGCTCGGGTGCCCCCATATCAAGCTGCTTGGAGGGGCCAGGAGCGCTACCGGGGGACCCAAGAAGAGGAGAATCGGGGCTGCTCTGTGCAAAACCATTGCACAGAGCAGGTAAGAATGACACGTTTTTCATTTATTTTTTTTAATTGCCTTTAGTATCACTATAACTATCTCAGTGTAGTGGTTTATTCACAGATGTGATTGTGCCAGTGCATATTGTTGGACCTTTCACATTTTCTTCTGCATTCAACCTTTACCAACTAAATGGGTTTTCCTGGGAATCTAGTTATATTTTATTGTTTCCAAATATAATAGTTCATGAAAAATATGAAAGAATGTCAGCCACACTCCACTTAGTGCCTCTTGCATTTTTAATTATCAATGAATTGATTCCCATATCTTTGTGAGCAAGGTAGGAGTGATGAAACGCATCAAGAATAGGCTGGTTTTTGGGTGGAGACATTACTGTATGCAGTCAAACCATTGACTAATAAAAAAAATACTGTAAGGGGTTAAATCCTTTGCTCAGTTACAGCAAGAAAAAGAACTCCCCCCCCCCCCCCCCCCCCCCCACAACAAACTTTTTTTTTTTTTTTATACACTTTCTACAAACTAACATCCGATACCCTGTGGGTCCCAGGATGCTCCTTTCCTAGAGTCTAAATGTGCCTCTGACCCACATGCCCTTGGTATGATCTCTTCCCCTACTTGCAGCTTCTAACACCCTGTCCCAGCAGCCACCCTTGTACACTGAAAAGTGGGTGATGGATCTAGACACAGAATTGGATGCCCAAGCCTGGGCTTAGATTTGAGACGCCACCAATCTCCACAAATGTACAGCCAGAGGAAACTAACTATAAAGTTATCAATAGGTGGTACCTTGCCCCCACTAGAATGGTTCACTATATCTCTGGAACACTCTGCTCAGTGTTTCCACAACTGTGGACAGATTGGCTCGTTTCTTCACACTTGGTGGCATAAGATACAATGCATGAAGATAAAAAAACCTTGAACCTTTACAACCACTTTAAGCCACCCAGAATAAACAAGCATACCTTTTAAATTGCTGATGTACTGTGAACAATCGCTAAAGCATGGCATTGCCCCACTTTGTCCCCGAGTGAGACGTGAGATCTAGAATTAACACTATTCAGCTGCATGAATAGATCCAAGAACATCTAATGCATGAGGTCAAAAAATACCAGGCAGTCTGGAGATCATGGACCTCACGCTACCTTCTGGCGGGTTTTGACCAAGAACTGCTGCGTTTTATAGTTGGGTTAGCAATTCTGTCCACTGCCCCTCCCTCCTTCTCTTACCCCATCCCTCATGGCCCTAATAATCCCCCCCCTGATTTATTTTTATTTTTTCCTACCATCCCCCCTCCTTCCAACTGTCACTGTGGTGGTCGTTTCATCCTAGTTACTGACACAATTCCTGACTGTTTCTGCTGGAACTCAATACTATGTTTGTTGTACATTATGTTTGCTTACTTGTGATTCCATTCAATCTTTATGTACATTTATAATATTTAACCGGCAAAGCTCATCTGTAGATGTACACGTTCAAAATGATTATAAAAAGTACTGTAAGAGGAGCTAAGTGGAGAGCAGCCGACATTCTTTCCTATTTTTAATTGAGAGTGGAGAAAGACTACAATTGCCAGCACTCAGGTTGTCCATATAGAAGGGAGGCCAGTCTTCACTGGAGCTATGGATTTGTATGATGGTTTATGGGTGTATTCTGGACCTCAAGCAAAAGCTAAGACCTAAATTATTTTGCTTTTATACATGTACATGTTATTCGTAAGAAATTCAGAACTAGCAATGCTGTCCATGTGCTGCTTCTTCAAGTTCCAGCTTTTGCATACATATAGTAAAATACAAAACATGTTTTGAACCATTGGGAAATTTTTTGAAGGGTGCTGTGAATTATTCCTCATTTTCTGTTATAAATCTGGTGTCATGGTCACACCAGAGGTTGTTCACAACCTTTGCATTTTGAACCCAAGTTTATTATTTTTTAACCTAGCTTCTCTCATAATGTATGCTTCATACAGATCGAGATCAAGTATGCGAGATGCAGTCTTGCTTTACTCCTTAACCAACTGAACCTTTTCTATACAAACATTGATTGTGCACTGAGCCAGGGGTGTATTTGCCGCGAGGTAAACAAGGCGTTTGCCTAGGGCGGCACTTTTTAGGGGGGCGGCACGGCGGCACCGCCCCCCCCCCCCCTCCCACGG